TGAAATGTGAAGTTGATGGATTCAAAATCAGCACTTTCATGTATCTTTCCATAATATCAACAAGATTTTTAAGCATACGGCTCTTCCTTATTTTTGGTTAATAAMGTACTTTATGAAATGATCTAGTATAAGGAGATTTTCATTACAGAATACGATAAAACAGCATAAAACACCTTTGTTCCAGGCCATTTCCCTCCCCTCTCTCCTCAGGCCCCATACCTAGATGATGGCAGAAATTTCAAAATTGGAAATAATTGGCTTTTCTTGACTCTGAAAGGGATAAAAAAAACTGGTAGTGAAATAAAATACGTACTTAAGTGGTTGAATGTGTGGCCTGAATCAGTATGGATGACGTCAACAAAGGCAGCATCAGAGGAATCCAGTTTTACGTCAGTATGAAAGCCTTGAAACCGTGGGCCTGCTGGATCAAGACCTGGCACACAAACAGAAACAACAGACAAATGAGAATCGCTGCATTTTAATAAAATACATATTGCAGAAGCCTGTCGTTGGCTTCAAAGTGAAGCATCGATCAAATTAATTCATTTTACAGTGACCAGCCTAATTGTCAAGACCAAGTTATTAAGAGGACGAAGAAGATTTAAGAATTAAGCTATCCGGGTTCTTTCTGTTTGGTCAATTGTCAGTTCAAGAAATATAACATACCTGTGATGCGTGCGACGTTTTTAAGCCTTTTTCCAACATAACCAGCAACATGAGCGCCTAAACTGAACCCAATGAGATGAAAAGAGGCAGGCGTGTTGCCCATTTGTTTATTGATAAACTTAATTAGTTCTGCCACCTTGGAAACAAACATGCAATTTAAGAGTTGCTTGTAATAGACAGTGTTTCATTTAATGTATTAGAAATTAGATCAAATTTTACCATTGATCCAGCCAAGCGTGTGTTTGCAACACTTTGAAGGTATCCTTTGACGGAAAACGATATGTACGAATTCCAGCCAACAACAATGACATTCACATCTTTTTTCCTGAGTTTTTTGGTCATTTCGGTAATCCAGGTAGAATTTACAGTTTCTATGAAAGAAACAATAGTAACGCCATAATCGCATTCGGTGAATCAATATGATTCGAGAATCAGTATATTTACTGATCATTCGCGAATCACTGTACAAAGCACTATTTTCATCCCACATTGAATACGCATAAAGTAAAATAGAACCGCTGTTGGCTGTTTACTGAAATCTGTTGACATCCTGCATTGGTCAATGATCAGGTATACAACCTGAGACCTTTGCTAGGGTCATGGACCTTTATATCTGATAAAGGTCACCCTTATTAGTATTCTTTATATAAGTGTTTTATCAGATATAAAGGTCCATGCATGTGACCAAATAGGCTCATTCTATTGGCCTAATAACTTATTAATTATGAAGTGTCAATTCTTCAAGGTCAAACTTGGTGGACTCTTTTCACGTGCACCCATGAGGCCTTTACCCTTAGGGACTGCGCAATATTCACCAAAAGGGAGTGGGGGTTGAGTAATTAGCCAAAAAATCAAAAGAGTTGATCACTCCCCCCCCCATCCCCTAGCATACGAAACAAATTACGCTCTGCCCCCCTGAATTTATTTTTATCATTCGTGAATAAAGAGTTGTTGCAAATCGTTTTCAAATCTGACACCGTTGATTTATCAGTTTACAAGTTTTAGTTAATAAATATACGCGCGAAGTGTTATTTATTACGATCGGAACACCTTAACTCGGAAAATGAACAACTATACACGAAAATGAAAATTTGCGATGCTTGAATGCGCCGACACTCACCATGCCATCCATGAATGATAATGATCGTTTGTTTTGAACTATCGTAGCTGCTTTTATTACGAAGAAGCTGTCCGTCACGATCGTTGATAGGGGTACCTGATTTCGAGGACTTCTTCGTGAACAATGTGAATGTGGTTTTGCCGGATTTTGGCAATGGAACCCATTTACGGTTAAATGGAGGACGGTTGCTAAAGCAGCCATATCTTTCAAAGCAAATCTTTTTATAGAGTCCTGTAAAGCAAAGGTGTCAAGATATCACCTCAAAGTTTACCTACGATTCTATCAAGTAATGAAGATCAATTAATGAAGCAAATCAGCCAGATCGCCTGTCCTTATAAGCTATACTAGAGGAAAAGGGATCGGGAAACCTCCTATTCCGAATTCTTTCTACTAAGKGTTGTTTGACTGTGTTGATATTGTACATGAATCAAACATGGTAGTATCTCGTACGCCAGTTGCTAGTTGATGTGATCTCAATAAGAGGTCTCAATAGATCCGCAAAAAAGCTATTACTGCTGCAGCGAAGCGCGCCTGAAGCTTGCTTCTGTAGGTACCGGTGTACAGATGACGTAATTCAATGGAAACAGAAGCTTAAAACAAAGAAGTAGATTCTAAACAATACCCCGAAATACAATGAAACCATTGTAGCCAGAACACAATAGATTCCGGTACACACAGAAAGGCCCCGCCTGGAGCGCGCAAAGCACCGATCCTAAATTTAGATGAGAACCACTACGTGAATATAGAGCATTTATACCGTGTCCAGTTAATTAGGAGGACATGGCGTCATACAGTCAGCACCTTAGCAGTTGTCGATATGTACTATATAATTACATGTTGTTACTTTCATTTTGAGCTAAATATATTTTGAGCTATTTATCGCTATTGCTATTTTCACATTTAATATTATTGTCCTTTATTATATTATGTCACAAATATACATTCTATCGAACTACTGCATACCTATTCGACAGTCATGACCTTTCCAACCACGTGTACATCTGCACTTCGCAACATTCCTTCCCCATGACAACCAGCCKCCCTTCTTACAGTATCTTGTCCCACCATTGTAGCATGTCTTGCGAGCACATCCTGGAGGCAACGAGAAAAGCAATTAAAATTTGATTAAAATTAAAGCACTAGGATTGATGAGAGGGACGAAAGTGTCMTACTTTTTTGTGAATATTCGTAATGAAGGCTAAAAYACAATGTCTTCTTTGTTTATTGGGTCCCTTAAGCTAAAAAAAATATACAATGATTTCATACCATACTGGCAGACCGATCCAGAAAATCCTGAAGGACATCTGCAAGCAGACACTCCTCGAGATTTGYAGTACTTCGTTCCTCCATGCTTGCATGATTTGCGTGGGCACGTTACTGAAAACATCAAATAGTCAGAGTGCGAATCAGAGTACGAATGTGCGAGTCAGAGTGCGAATCAGAGTGCGAATGTGCGAGTCAGAGTGCGAATCAGAGTGCGAATGTGCGAGTCAGAGTGCGAATCAGAGTGCGAATGTGCGAGTCAGAGTGCGAATCAGAGTGCGAGTCAGAGTGCGAGTCAGAGTGCGAGTCAGAGTGCGAGTCAGAGTGCGAGTCAGAGTGCGAGTCAGAGTGCGAGTCAGAGTGCGAGTCAGAGTGCGAGTCAGAGTGCGAGTCAGAGTGCGAGTCAGAGTGCGAGTCAGAGTGCGAGTCAGAGTGCGAGTTAGAGTAGATTCAGAGTCAGAGTGCGAGTCAGAGTTCGGAGTGCGAGTCAGAGTGCGAGTCAGAGTGCGAGTCAGAGTGCGAGTCAGAGTGCGAGTCAGAGTGCGAGTCAGAGTGCGAGTCAGAGTGCGAGTTAGAGTAGAGTCAGAGTGCGAGTCAGAGTCAGAGGAGAGACGAGTCAGTCTATCAGTCGGTCAGTTACTTGCTTGACATTGTTTACCACTTGTCCATGAACGACAGCTGCACAACTTTTTGAATTGTTAAAAATGAACGGTAAATAAAATCGCTTCCGTCACTTCTGATTTCTTCCAGAAGAGTGTCTCTACCACCTAGTCGAGTTTAATGATGCCGTCCTAGGGGCTCTTTGTGCAGAAAATGACTCAAAAAGCACTTATAAAGGCCATTTTTGGAGGTCAAAATAATTTGTTTTGGATCGAAAAATGTTTGAAAATCAACAAAGTATCCACTGACGTCAATGAGTYAACAGTTTTACCACTTAGTGTTGGGATATTTGCACTGAAGTTTGTTAATTTGTTTTGCCTCCCTTTCCCCAAGTCCCTTCAATACGTCAGAGCAGAAAAGGCAATTAGATTTGGTCACAGAACTCTTGTTAGACGTTCAATTTTCCAGTGGAAGTTGAATTTTATCTTCTTAGCTTGCTATGTATGCATTTATTCCGGTTTAAGCTGGAGTTACATGTTTTAAGGAATTACCTCGTGATACAGATGTACGACGCCTGCCGCCCCACCAGCCTTCCGACTCCTCGGTGAGAATCAAAACTGAGAGACAAACGAGCTCCAACAAAATATACCAACGCATGTTGCACTGAAAASTCTTTGGATCTGCGCTCAGYGAGTACTGAGGGTAGAATGCCTGAATMCACGAAGTATTGCCAATATCGAGCATGCTTTTTTYCYTKKTWRSCTRAGCATTAAAATTCTTGACTTGGTAGAGCGATATCAAGTAATGTTTTGCATGCAAATTAGTTTTGTGAGTGAAATAATAAAGTACGCACCGCGTGCCTAYAYGCTTTGARAAAAATGAAAATCATCAAAAGATGCAAAAATGATTTTCGCAGTTTTAAGATGAAAAATCAACATTTGCCAAAATGTAGATCTATAGGAAGTGAACTCTTTTTCAAACGGTGGATATTGGACTACCCTAATTGGACTGTTTCCCAATGTATACATATATTTCAGTTTTTACTATTCATAACATCCAACTTAAAAACTTTGTATAATGCGTCTTCCGTTCATATTTGTTGGAAAAGATCAATACGTCTCTCGGCCAAAAATGCCACAAACAGACATCAACCATTTCGGACGTCTCCAGATAGATGCTTTATAGGTTTTCGTGTTCTACTTTGATGCGTCTTCGTGTCATTCAAATATACAGGACTGATTGCCAGACAGGGTTATTAACCGTATGAAAAATATTGTTAAAAAGGCCGTAGCTTCACCGCTACCTCTACGTTCTACAAGTACAGGCGTTRATTTGAAACCTCCAGATGAAATACGCGGCGAAAGCAACCCCGGCGCAGCGGAAAACAGACAAGGAAGTAGCACTCGAAGCTCAAGAAGCTCACTCAAAAAGTTTGTGCGACAAGGATAAAGTCACAAATGGAAGTCAAAAAGTCATTAAATTGGATGATAGAAATTACATCGATCTTTATTTGTCTTATTTTGTGTAATTTTCTATCTTCAAAAGAAAAATAAAATAATAATCAGTTGTTTCAAAGCTTTTTCATCTGTTTCACTGAAGCATTTAGGCACGTGGGCACTTCATCATCATACTATTTTACTCTCGAAAAACTCATTTGCATGCAAAACACTGCGTATATGATATCGCTCTAGTAAGTAAAATTTTAATTTAATTTAACTTTGACCAACTTCAAAAATAGAKTAATGTCCAATTAAGTGAATAATAACTGGAACGATTAGATAAACCATTATTATGGAATTTTACAGCGCGAATCGAAAAACCGTGGGCGTCTAGAAATATTTCGGGAATGTGTACTTAAAAAGTGACTTTAGTTGACAAACAAGAAAACATGATGAAAAACATAAATGGACAAACTTTGTGTTTATTCTAAACAACGAAATTATAGTATTTGTGAGCTTTTTGGTGATAAACTAGTTCTATTTATTTGTAACGTTGAAGTTTTGATAAAAAAATTTGCACGTGAAAATGCACTTGATGACGGTTAATCTCGTTTCTGATTAGTCAATGAACATTCCCGAAGTATTTCTAAGCGGCCACGGTATTTCGATTTAGACGATTTATGAATCAATTCGCTAATTCAATGGGAAGTTATTGATTCAGATTAACTATAACTCGAAGAATCAATCCAATTGGATAATCGCCAAGTTTGTCTGAATACTGATTATTGATTGAGGCTGAATATGATATCAACAATTATTGATCAAGGCTAATGATATGAAGATTGAATTATTTGTTAGCGTTTAGTATGGGTTTAGATCAGACTTTAAGATCGTAATTTGATGATCTAAAATAGCTTTCTTTATTCAAAAATATTCCGTAATATTGATACAATTTTATCTATTTGCTTTTCACTAATTTTAAGGTTGAATAAAGTCCCATGTTTAGTGCTCAGTCACCGTCTCGCTGATTGGAAACTAAGGTATTGTCACACGATACGACCTATAAAAAATAGTAATAAAAAAACTGATGGATGCTCATGTGTAGATATATTAAATGAGCCGTTAGAGCAAACGCAGAATACTAACAAATAGCAGCAAATAGCGGCTATTTAGAGACAATTTGTCAGTATCCTTGATCAATGAACCAGAACATAAAATGACAAAGATGAATCCACAAGGGACCATTTTTTATTCATCTTGATTGCTTTCTGGTTAGTTGATACTGATAATTTGTCTCTAAATTGCCGCTATTTGATTTAGTTTGATTTTATTTCATGGTTTTTCTGCATTTGCTCTAGCTCCTAGCCAATCACAAACGAATGTGTTCTCAATGAATAATAAGCTTCGAGATATGATATTTAATGAGTTATGAATGAGCTAAATAAAAGTATGTGGACTTAATTTTCTTTTTCAATCAATGTTCGAGTCCTCTACATACTAATTCCGGGTTTATTAATGGCATATAGTTGTTTTCAAGCCATTTTACTTCCGTGTCTAGACTTTTGATGCGTTATTTACCTTACTAAGTAGAATACAAGTTGAGTGCCAAGTAATGTAAATAAAATTGACAAATGAAAAAAAAATGTTGTGTTTGTGGTTCAAGGAAGTTAAAGCGATAACTAAATTAATTAATTAATTAATTAATTAATTAATTAATTAATTAATTGTTGTTTTTGTAGTTTGAGGATGTTAAATAACGATAAATAGCAAAGTATATTAATAGAAATCAAAACATAACGAATAAACTTTTTTTGGAGAAATCAAATGATATTAGACTAATAGATATAATGACTGCTACACTCCTCATTATTGTACTGAACCACATTTAGAGAAGGTTAATCGGCACATACGCAACGTTAACTCTACGTACGCAACTCTACGTAAGCACGTACGCAGCTCTACGTTTATAAACACGCGAGACTTATTTAGAGTCGGTGCAAACTGGCGGGGGTTGTTTTCCATAGTTCTCAATACGGTTTTGTTTATCAGGGGTTTTTCTTAATACCGGGTTGAACTTGATACCGATATGCTCTTAAGGCGAAGTTTTCCGTTCTTTTTGGGATTTACTGTTAATGAAACCATAGAATATGTCGAATATTGTATTTGGTTTTGAGGTTAAACACAGAGCAAACCAGAAAGCGACCTTGACTGTCAGAGGCCGGGTCATTTGGACATAAAAGTAAAATTAAAGTCTAATTAAATATTATATTTTTCTTGTGTGAAGTGTGTGTTTTTAGATGGCATTTAAATTTTTCTTTCTTGTTTCTCAATGTTTTAGACTTATTCAATTCAGGAATTCACCATTCGCCAACTGAAGTTTTTGCCAGGGAGACGAAGCAATAAATTTTAATCTACAATTGTTACAAATAAAATTCTAATAATAAGTAAAATTCAAAATAGCTTAATCTTAAGACTTATTAAGAATTATAAATGGGTTTGAAAAAATTCCCCCTCCCATTTTGAGAATAAAATTTTATTCCTAACAATTGTAGATTCAAAGTCATTGTATGGGCTCACTGTCTTCATGTTTCCGTGCRTGCAAAGCATAGTAAAAAGGACTAGTTCCAAGCGTTTGATGTAGTATTTTCAATGTTCTTTATTGGTAGTTAACATTTTACTCCAGTTTTAATTTACGCCCGTTTTTAAATTCATTTTTCAGTTCTTTTTGAACTGCATGAAAACTCTTATTCTAGCCTTACACTTTTCTGTGCTTATTTTAGAGAATGATTAACTTGGAGATTTCTGCAATTTTCAGCACGAAATTTTTCCCTTGGTCAGATTCTTTTTGATGGGCAGATTGAATATCGGTGTCCCCTTGAAACATGCCCGATACCTGTCAAAGAACCATGACGAATTATAAATCCTGTTAAACTTCAATGAGTTTAAACTGATGGCGGTACTATACATATCAAGATTTTAGTTTCCTGCTGAAAAAATAATATACTTACACCTCGTTCTTTTTACCCACAAACTGGACAGAAACCATCTCGAGATCCCATCCTCTGCTGTTGCTCATGGAGATTGTGGAGTTTCCTGCCTTAAGCTTACTGAAAATTGTCAAATCATTAAAAAAAGTTGAAAAAATAATGAGCTTTCATTAAAAAAATATTGAACTTTGTGTGTGAAACGAAAAGACAGCTTTAATTATCTTTTGAGGAGCATGTAGCTCTTCTTTATATAAGTGGGCGCAGTTGTTACTGTGGGAAAATCTGAAAATGACCGCTAAAATGTGTATCCTTCATGAAATAATTAATGGGTGTGGCAATAATAATATGTCACCCTTACACCCTTAGATTATGCAGCACCCTTCATTAGTTTCACCCCTCACCCCCCTGTTTACCTGTTGTTAGTGGCATTTGTGCCGTTGGTAACTACAATATTCATCACATGGATGCTTTTCAAGGTACCCAAGTCGGCGTTGAGTGTTTTATTGACCGTTGTAGTTGTACCAGGATTAAACGTCCTAATTAGAATATTTAAAAAAAATATAAATCAGTGATCAATTGAGCAAATGACACAGGGGCTTCGTACTAAAGACTGTATGTGACCTATCCATAGATATTGTAGTTTATGAAACGAAAAGAAACGAAACGAGATTACTACATAGGGGTAGTGCGCTCAAGGTACAGAAAGATCTAAAATTAGCTGAACGTGTATCAATTTCTGTGTGAAGATTCACTCCGAATTGTCTAGTGACTTTAAACGTTGCTCCAGATTTCAAAACAAGAGATGCTCAACAACTGGAGTTGTTACACTCAAATTAATTGGTGCATTTCTCGCGTGAGAGTGGTTATCGATCTCAGTATTCGCAAAACTTCCATTACAAGATAATGTAGTAGCGTATGGTCTATACTTCTCTGTTTTCTCACAGAATTATTATTGTTTATCAATCTACGTTGTCTCACCATAGTTAATATTAACTATTGTCTCACCTAGCAAAAGAAAGCTTAACAGTTCCTTTCGTTCCATTGATGAGAATGATTGGGTTATAGCCGAAAGACTTTCGTCCAGTTTTGAAGGTTACGCGAACAACAATATCGGGTTCTGTGGACGTTATATAGAAATAAACAAAGGATGAGAAATACACATGCATATAAAAGCAAGAATACAACAACATAACAAGATTTTTTTATCTTCTTTTGCACTGACCGACGGMTGGAATAAGTTTTAAGAAACATCTCGGTTAAGTTTCTATTTTTACATGTGATGATCTTTCAGAATCATAATTAGTTTATGATAGTCTTATAGTCTATTTTTATTCAATAAACTCAATTGCAACATTTTCCTTACTATTTATAGGACAAGGTCCCTTGACAAGCTTCTTCGTGGTGAGTTTATTACTGTATACTCGTTCTCCCTTTTTGAAGCATGCGTAATACCTGTAGCAAAAATGAGCGATGACTGATATGATCAKAGMSCAYWCKYATAATTGGCAAAATATTGTTGAAKCAAAAAAGTTGTGTCGTCGAAGCAAAGACCGAAGGGTAGGTAATTAGTACAATGCTATGTGTGTAACAGCCGGCCGGTTTCACGCAAAATTGATTTTTTTATGTATTTTTTAGTTAGTTTTTAAAAGCCTTGGCCGTCATACAGAGGTCATGGCATACATTTTATACATTAAATTGGAAATTATTGCACCTAATTTAAAAACTTTGTAAGGCTTTAGAAAAAGTCGATATCACTGAAGTTGATGAATTTTAAAAGCGAAAATAGCCTTGAAGCTTATTAATTTGATGAATTGTACTTACCTCTTCATCTTTTTTCCAANTGAGGGGGACTAGTTAATTAGTCACTAATTTTTTTTCTGTAAACATACGGGCATTTAGAAATCCGTAACCAAGATGGCCAGGTGTTTTGATACAGAAATGGATTTTTAAACACACAAAATGTGATTTTTGAGGTCTGGAAGTTCTTGTATAAGAATCTGTTGATTTCAGAAGTCGTTTTAGGAGATATCGTGTGAATATGGCTCATAAATACAGCATTCCTATTACGATGATTTCAAGGATTATTCCGATCCACGTCCGTTAGTGATTTAATTCTCATCGATTCATGTAAACTTTATCCTTCGTAAGAGGCTTTATATAGACTTATATCCAGATTTATTGTCTGACAATCTTCGAGTTGTGTCGCCATTGGCGGCTTGATTAAAAGCCTTGGCCGTCATACAGAGGTCATGGCATACATTTTATACATTAAATTGGAAATTATTGCACCTAATTTAAAAAACTGTGTAAGGCTTTAGAAAAAGTCGATATCACTGAAGTTAATGAATTTTAAAAGCGAAAATAGCATTGAAGCTTATTAATTTGATGAATTGTACTTACTTCTTCATCTTTTTTCCAACAACTGAGTCGATTATAACCTCCTCGAGTTTCCATCCCTTTATAATGTTCGGTGAATTTACTATTTCCATTTTCTTCAGAGTACCCAAGTCGGCTTTAAGTTTTATAGTCTCATTTCTGGATTTTCCAGGCTGAAACGAGCTAATACAATAATGATAAAAAAGGCGTTTAACTTTAAAATGTGCTTTTGGGCTTATCATTGCATGAAATATAAGCGTCGAATAGTTATCCAACAGTCAGTGGTCTACTATCGAGAACGAGGGGCTCTATTATGGAAAAGTGAGAATCCGAACTAAGTAACTGAAATGAAATGACAAGATCAAAGGGKTTGGACTGARTTACAAAAGTTTATTACTTACCCTAACACTACCAGYGGCTTTGACGTTTTTTTGGTTCCATAAATGCGAATTTTTGGATTTTTTCCTGGAAACTTCCCGCGGCCAGTTTTGAARGTAATGCGAACATAGATACGTTCTATAGAAATTGTTATAGAAATAGAATTATYAAGGATGACATTATGGGACAAATTAACAAGCAATTTCCATTAGACTGGCAGTCGCAAGCTCAACTTGATTAAACCTTTTTTAACCAGTAAGCGATTTATTTTTCAAGCGGGCGCGCACTGAATTGATTTTGCGGAAATGAACAAGACATACAACATTTTGCGAATCATAAATTTCACCAGCAGTTTGCAAAAACAATATAGATTTAGGAAAGAAAACATAGTTGACCAGTTTGCGCAGTTAAAAGGCTTCTTTACTGACTGCGCTAATGATATATTTGAACCAGGACAAACGAAGTGAGTAATCCAGAGCAAAAGCAATTGCAAACGATTGTGAATAACACTTATTCATGTCTGATTTCGAAAACTAAAAACTAAATACCTCTGGGACAAGGTTGAGGGTTACATCTCCTTGCCCGCATTGACTGGCCAGTGCAATATCGTCCTCCGTGAGCCGGTTTTGGKTTGTCGCATTTGCGCATGCGTTTTTGAATTCCACCACCGCACGTWCGACTGCAGGGTGCCCATTGTGACCAACGGCTCCATTTTCCATCTACAAAAATGGTTGTTAAGTTAAACTCATAATTATTAACCATTTTTTATAATCCATCTTATGGATATCAAATCAATATAAAACTTGACTCAGAAACGAAGCTCTAACATTAGTGCTATACTACAGCTTGGAATATTATTATTGATATTCGGAGTGCATTCGTGAAACGATCGTGAACAACAATTATTGTTTGATTTCGATAACTAAAAACTTGATACCTATGGGGCAAGGTTGACGGTTACATCTCCTTTTCTGCCGTGACTGGCCAGTGCATTTTCGTCCTCCGTGAGCCGGTTCTGGATTGTTGCATTGGCGCCTGCGTTTTTGAATACCATCATCGCCGCACTTATGACTGCAGAATGTCCACGTTGACCAACTGCTCCAATTTCCATCTACTRCAAAACATAAGTAGAAAGGTTTGAATTGTCCGTATGCTGCTTAACCGATGCAAGCGTATGTAAGTTTACATCTGAAAAAGCTTTTGTGCTTGCAAGCATAATTGAAGGTTCTCGGGTCTAGACTATTTGTAGTCAGTCCATTATTCATGTGATTAAGCACTTACTTATTTGACATTGTCTCCCCCATGTCCCACGACGACATCTACAGGATGCATTTTCACTTGACTTACAGACTTTTGTTCCTCCATTATAGCATCTCAGAAGCCTACATGCAGCTTGGAATACGAAATCACAATTAATCAACAACATGCTAGTCATCATGTATAGTTTTGTTGTAATAWGGTGAAAACTTCCGGSCGCAAACGCTTTCTACATTTCTTCAACATTCRTTCAACTTTGTTGATGCGTTTTTTCGGGGTTTTCAACATGCTTTTACAACATTAACTGTCTATGGTCWCRAACCAATAATACTTGTGAAAATGTCTGACGCAGCTGACTTTTGTTTTTGTTACAAAAATTCAGGAGAAATTCATCAGTTTTTCGAGTATGGAATATTCGACAAAACAATCGTAGCGGAGAAGTTCGATTCCAAAACTGTCCAAAAAAGGGCTTAAAATATGACTAGACATAAACTTTGTCTTTTATTCTTTGACTCTTATATCTTTTAAAACTAAAAAACACGTTAAAAAGATGGAACAGTGATTTCGTGATTCATGTCCCTTTAAAACCGGTCGTGTTTTAGATTTTTCATAATGGAAAATGAGGTGACTTCGAATATCCATTTGCAATCCGTTTCCATCCATCGGTTTAACGGTCGAATCTTAAAGCATCTCCATAAAGAGTAAGTTTTTGCTTATATTACGATGTATTTCTATTTTCAAACATAAACAAAAGCTCGAAATTTCTCTTTTTAACGATACATAGTCCACCAGCATCCCTTTCGAGCTTTTGTTTATGTTTGAAAATAGAAATACATCATAATATAAGCAAAAACTTACTCTTTATTATTCCTTTATCCTATATGAATGGAGATGCTTTAAGATTCGACCGTTAAACCGATGGATGGAAACGGATTGCAAATGGATATTCGAAGTCACCTCATTTTCCATATATGAAAAATCTAAAACACGACCGCATTGCATGCTAGTGGACTATGTCCCTTTAAGCAAAAATTGAGACGAATGTTGAAAGAGTTGTTCTTCTACCTTTGTACATCAATTCAACACCGTTGCACAGCATTCAACAAAGTTGAACGAATGTTGATGTAAAGAGCAAACTCAGGAAAACCGTGAAATAAAATCAAACTATAGTACTAACAAATAGTGGCTATTTAGAAACAAATTGTGAGTATCAATGAACCCGAACGCAATAGGTTGGCGTACGATGACGTAGTTTSTTTACACCCAAAATATAAAATTCAAAAAATAAGCAATCTGAACTCATATATTTCAAGATTATATTACTCTCAACATTAACAAAAACCTGAAAATTTTAGGGCAAGCGCCTTTTTACATTTCGAGATAACAGCATTTCAAAACTAGAAAATCTATAGAAAACATTCAGTTGTTTGGCAAAATAATGCGAACCACGGTCATTTCTTTAGAAAATCTTGCAAATTTGGCGCTTGATATCTCTTGAAATATTTAACCAATTGCCTTCAAATTTGCAGGAATTGTTAATATAACARGTATGAGTTCTTTTCATTTATGGGCTTGATTTTCTTGTGTCTTGAAATTCGATTTATGAATTTTATGCAAATTAGCTAAAACGTAAACATTGGCGCCCACCTATAAAGGTGAATGAAAAATGGTCGAATGTGGATTCATCTTCATTGTGTTCTGGTTCATTGATGCTGACAAATTGTCTATAAATAGCAGCCATTTGCTGACAAATTGTCTATAAATAGCAGCTATTTGTTAGTATTTACTTTGATTATATTTCATGGCTTCATTCCTACGTTTGCTCTACACTCAAAAAACACGAGAGAGTGTGTTTTATCAGATATAAAGATTCGAGCCGAAGGCGATTCTAGGGGTTTTAATGTACTTATTCAATCGATCGTGATATTTCTTACTTTGTTTATCACAGTGCTTTCCTTTCCAACCTTTGTCACAAACGCAGTGTGAAAACGTAAAAATCCACAAGTGATTCGTACAGCCAACTTTGCCATGTTTGCAGTAGAAGCTTGGACATGCTGTAGAATATAGAAGAACAATTACAACAGAGGAGTCTAGAAATTTCAATGAAACTGTTACCTTTTCGGCAGTCATGACGATACCAGCCAATTGGACATTTGCACTTAGGAATTTTCTTTCTCCTCCAAAAGAAGCGGCCTCTTGTACAGTATTTTGTCCCTCCATTGTAGCATGTTTTGGATCGGCATCCTGGAGAGGCAAGCGGAATAATCAGGAGGAGCCGACGGGTTCCTGGGAGAAATATATCTATTCTTATGTCCCAGCCAGCTGTAAGTCACAACTGGTTGCCAGCGAGAAAATCAGGAAAAAAGATCTCTCCAGTCAAGGAATACTTTCTAAGATTTTTTGACAGGAAAATAAAAAAAATTCCCAACTAAAAAAATATATGCCGTTTTTGACCATAAAAACGTTATATAAGCCTTTTTGTCATTAAAAACGTTTTCCAGGATCATAATTATTTTAAAGAAGAAAGTGCGCCACATTTGCTTGTGAGATTGTCAATAATGTAGCTCAAAATCCCTTTCCCAGCAAAACATTCGTACAATAACAGTTGTTAGTATAAACATATTAATGGTCTATCACTCATACTTCGCTGTGATTGGCTACTCTACTAATGGTCTAATTTGTGATAGACCACTCACGGGAAAATCAATCTCATTAATAAATCATTTTAAGGACTCGGCCTCATGGGCTATTAGCTCGTAGTCCACTCGACCTCGAGGTCTAATTGTTAATTAGAAGAACAGATCCCGTCGGCTCCTCCTGGAATAACAGTCAGAAGCAAAAAGGATATGGTGTGGTCACCAACTCCGATCAAAAAACAAGTTACCACTAAATAGCAGCACCGCAATAATTAGCGTGTATAAGCAGTTTCCTACCATTCTCACAACGGCTTCCAGTAAAATCACGGCGACATCTGCAGTAAGGCTGACCAGAGAGACGACAGTATTTTGTTCCTCCATTTTTGCAATCTATGTGTTTACAATGGGCTACATACAAAGATCATAATAATAGCAGTGAAATTGGACTTGCATAAAATTGATGCAGATTGAGTAAATCGATTCAATCGTCAGTTATGAATACATGACTCAGACTGATTTTTAAAAAAAATCAATTCTGTCATGCTGGTATAATTTATTCTTATAATCATCACAGTCATACAACAAAACGAGTAATTTGAGAATGCTTAGAATTATTTCTATTTTCAAAATTTTGTTGCAGTTTAATATAATCAGAAATACATTCTATYAAGCTACTATACATACCTTTTCGACAGTCATGACCTTTCCAACCACGTGTACATCTGCACTTCGCCAAATACCTTCCCCAGAAGCCTCTTTTACAATATCGTCTCCCACCATTGTAACATGTCTTGAGAGGACATCCTGGAGGCAAGAAGAGAGCTAATTAATTTAAGCACTAG